GGCAGCCCCGCCAGCGGGCCCGGGGCGCGCGGCCGCCCGCGGAAGAGCAAAGGGCCGAGCTGAGCGCGCGTGCCCGGACTGCGCGCCCTAGGAAGGGAAGAAAGGATCGCTGGTGTCCCTGGTGGTTGTTCCTCCCTCGCTCGTCTGAGCGGAGGAAGAGCCTTGATTGATTCCGCTCTCTCCTCCCCACCTTTCCCTAAGAACCCTCCAGCTTGCGCTTCCTTTTTTGTACCAAAGCCTCCCCCTGCCCCGCAAAGCCCAGGCCTCAGCCGCAATCCTCAGCCGGTAAAGAAAGGTAAATAAATGAATGCAGTCAAGTGTATGCTGCGAGATCATTTTAGCTTTGGAAGTACTGCAGATGTTTTGCCATCTGTGAAATGGGAGCCTTACACAGATGTAACGAAGTGTGTACGTGCGTGCGTGCGTGCACGCGTGCGCCTGAAGTTACCGTGGCGCTCTGGAGAAGGTGGCGCCCTGACCAACGGGCCAGGTTCCCCGTTTCAGTCATTTCCCTGCCAGCCGGGGAGCAGATGGCACCTACTGCTAGCCCTTGCTCCTGCCGCACAGCCGGGGAGCATGCTCCTTGGTGTCTACGCGGGAATGGGAAGCAGGCCTGAGTCCTAGGTTTAGGGTTGGCGGTACTTTCCAGCCATGGACCTTTAGCCTCTCCGACCCTCAATTGCTTCACCTGTGAAAGAAATAAAACTACCTCCCCGCTAAAAAAACTAAAAGACAAAAAAAAAAAAAAACAACCCAACTCCAAGGACTGGTGATACAGCTCAGTGGCACAGTGACTGCCTGGCAAGTGCAAGTTCCTGGTACAAAAACAGAAACAAAACAAAACAACATCCTTCCTTTGTAAAAAAAAAATTATTACAACACAAGGAGGTGGGCTGGGGATGTAGTTCAGTGATGCAGTGCTGGTCCGGCATGCATAAGGCCCTAGATCCAAACGCTCACCCCACAGAGACTCACATGGAGGAGGCAACATGGTACAATGGGTCTGCTGCGCACCCTGGAAAAGTTAATTAGTTAAAAAACTAACAGCGCCTTGCTTGGCAAGTGCAAGTTCCTGAGTTCGGTTCCCAGTACCAAAAAAATAAAAAATAAAAATAAACCAGATGTAGTGGTGTACACCTATAATCCCAATACTCTGAGGCTAAAGCAAGAGGGACTGCATGTTCAAACCCAGCCCAGGCAATTTAGCAAGATCCTGGGTTCAATCGACAGTACCACAAAAAAAAAAAACAAAAAAACCAGAAAGAGAAGTGTAGCTGGATGTGATGATGCACGCCTATAATCCCAGCACTTGGAAGGCTGAGGCAAGAGGATCACCCCAAGTTCGAGGGCAGGCTGGGCTACATAGTAAACTCAAGGCCAGCCTGC